AAGTGAATTGAAGTGAAAGAAAATTAAGTTTCCAACATTAATTTGGTTAGCATGAAAATTTTGCAATAAAATTATATAAAATTACTATTTTATAGTTTGAAAAGCATGCAACTTACCATAAAAGAAAGGGCAATATTGTAAGTTCACAAAACTTTCTCAAAAAATCAAAATTTTCTTGTATTTTTTGGAAGAAAATATTATTGAAAAATTAGGTAGTTTTGGAAAGTAATTTTTCTCAAAATTTTATTTTATTTTATTTTTTCTACTAATCAAACTCTTAAAATATTAAAAAAAAAAATTCATTTCCTTTCTTTTCATCTATTTCTATCTAACGAAACAAAGATTAATGTGAGAAAGGAGGTTTCAACTACCATTCCCACCATTCATATTTGCATCCGTAATGTTAATATTAGGAACATTCTAAGTCAAGTTGTAGACATTAGAAGGGAACTAAAATTAAACTTAATTAAAAAGAATCAAAAATCTAAAATATCTGATCAAAAAAAGACCATATATATATATATATATATATATATATATATATATATATATATATTTATGGCAAATCAATTTATATATTTGATTATATTATTATATAAATTTTTATAATATAATTTTTTTTTCTTTTTCGAAAATTTATATATATTATATATGTATATATGTATATTATATATATTTGATTATATATATATTTATATTTAGGGCAAATCATTTCAGCCTCCCAAATCGCTATATATATTTTTAGGGCAAATCATTTTAGCCTCCCCAATCGCCTCCATCTCTATTCTCGTTCTCAACTCTGAAATTGCCCCCCCTCTCTCTTTGCAACTGTAAACTATAAAATCAACAAGAATCAGAAGTTCAAAACCCATATCTTTCAGTTCCCATCGCCCACTGTTCCAGTTCAGGTTCGCCGTTCGCAAGCTTCGATAGCTGTCTCTCAACTCTTAAGCTTGCCCCCTCTCTTTCTGCAACTGCTAACTTTTACGTATTGGTTTTGTTTTAATTTTTTTTCTAAATCAACCAATCAAGGTCTGTAATTCTTATTTTGCAAACTAAATCCTATTTGGTGAAATTTTTTATGATCTTTTTTAAATATATGTATATATATATATATATATATCTCTCTCTGAACCCATATCGGCTTATCATTTCAGATTCTTCAAAAAATCAAAACCCATATCTTTCGGTTTCCATCGCTCTCTCTCTCTCTCTCTCTCTCTCTCTCTCTCTCTGCTTTTTCTGAAATAGCAGTAGCTATTTCTTGTACGATAAATGGCATAAATTTTGGCAAAGTTAAAATTCGACATTCCATATAACATTGCATTGAAATTGAAGAACCCATTTTTATCATCACTTGCTATATTTTAGAAATGATAGCACATATAGCATTGAATTGGAGATGCTCTCGTTTTGTTCAAATAAAAGAACACTCCTCTAGTCAAAAAGAAAAATGGTTGTATGTGTATATATAAGAAAATATGGTTGGTAGTTTAAGTCGGTTAAAAAGAGAAATGGGCGCCTGTTGTTTTTGTGTGCAGGGATAAGATGCTGAGTTTGCAGCGCGTAGGGGAAGCTTCGGGCTTAAAGGGAAGAGCGGTGCTACACGACCCGACCACTATTTACCCGAACAAAACTAACTGCGTAGGTGGCTGTCCAACGTGGCAATTTTCCCTCCTCTCTCTCTCTAACAATCAGCAACGAACCCATCTTTCGGGCTAAAATTCCGCGACCATCGGTAAACCCATCCTCTCTCTCTGCAAACTACAAAATCTGTAAGAATCAAACTCACATCTTTCATTCTCCCTCGTCTGTTGTTCACTAGCTCCAGCCACCATCCACAGCCGATTAAGCTTGCCCATCTCCAGTTGCTCCTCGCCGGTGCAGCGAACCATCCGAACCATCTAACTGGGCATCGCTGCCGCAAGCATACCGCGCTGCAAGTCCAAGACCCGGATCTATTTCACCGGCTCTCCATGACCGAATCGGACCCAGCCATCTCCCTCTTCGCCGGCGCCGCCATCAACGTCCTCACAGTAAGCTTCTACCGTTTTCCAAAGCCCAAACTCACTGCCATCACGCCGCCGCGAGTCGCAATCGATGCAGCACCACAGCCCATCTCTTGCTCGCCACCGCCACTTCCATCACGACAAGATCGAGATCTCCGGATCTTCATCGCCGACCCAACTATTCTGTGAAACCAGAGGGATCATCTCACTTCATCGCCGACGAGATAATCTCACTTCATCGCGGCATCGCCATCATCTCACTTCATCGCCGGAATTGTGTTGGTCTCCTCTGGTTTGGATAGCAAAGGCGGAACTGGGTCTACCGTGGTGGAGGTGAGTTTGGTCCTCGACCATGACGGTTTGATGGTTTCGATACAATCAAGGTTGGCGAGTCTAAGTATGGAGAAGAAAGCAGATCAGCAACGGAGACGCCGACGATGGAGAAGACAAGCACCGGCCGGAGGCTTATGGTTGCCGACAGTGAAATCCCGGCGATGATGAACTTGGAAGAAATGGGTCTTCACAAGAAAGCAAAAAAAAACTTGTGATTAACTGAGAGAGAAGGGAGGGAGAAGGGAAAAGTCCGAGAGAGATGAAGGATTCTCCACCGGAGAGAGAATGGAGAAAGAGGATCAAAAGGGAGATGAGAGAAAGTAAAGTTGCGTCAAGAAAGGGAAAAATCGTCTCCCCAGTTATACCAATCTGCATTTGACAAGTGTGTGTCGGCTAATATCGGGTGAACAGTAGTCGAGTCTTTTAGCATTTCTCTAAAGGGAAAGAAAGAGGGAGGTATGTTCTTTTTTCCAATCTTATGGATGGATAAACTCGAATTTAAAATGAAAAGGTCGTGTATTATTTAAGTGCACACGTGGAAATTGTTGACGGTCAAAGACTGACACGAATGGTTCCACTTATTTCTTGTGTTTTTGTTTTTTGGTTAAAGGGTAAGGTGTTCCACTTGTTTCTTGCCAACAGATTCCACCTTTTTTCTTTTTCTTTTTTTCTCTCGCATATCTCTCCAGATTTATTTGTTATAAAATATAGGGTAAAAGATAAAAAAAAAAGCACCTCTAAACTATGGGGAAATCAACAACTAATCCTTGAACTTCTAAAATTATAACTGACCCATCAACTATGTATTTTTGTTACAATTTACTCCGGTGAGGCTCCGATCGGATCTTGGAATTAAAGTGACCCACGTGGCGCACACTATTATTTTAATGATCATAATACCCTTATGAGCATGAAAAGATATTAATGGTCCTTGTGTTACCATCATCACCCAAACAACCAATGTTCATTTATCAATATGAAAAAAAATTTGGGACACCCATAATCAAACTCTTTTTGATTCCTCTCATCAAAAAGTTCAAAATGTCATCGCAGATTAACACACACATATATATATATGAATCTTCTGCTCTGTGTTACCGAAAAATTACAACCATCAGAGAGTCCAATATTGACCTTCGAAATCTAAGAGAGAGGAATCAAAACTGAAAAGATGATCTTGAGCTCCGATCTACAACCTAGAAAGGTTTGAGAAGGTCTGCAGAACACAACAGAGAGTCGAGAGAGAGAGAGAGATTCAGTGGGGTGAGAGAAAGATGAGACATAATACGAAGTTGGGTTATAAACATAGAGACATCTACATCACTTTTTAAGTGAGAAACAATTCTGTGTTTTCTCCCAAAATAATAAGAATTAATTGAATACTTAAGTTATAATACCAAAAGCCATGAGAAATTTTTTTTTTTTTTTAATATTTTTAAACAGAGATGTAATTTGCATATTTGAACAATTACGTTACTTGAGAGCCCATATCTGAGGTGACATCGGGTTGGCCCAATCCAACCCAACTTCGGGTTGAGTTTGGGTTGAGACGGAGTTGGGTTGGGCCTGCCCAACTTGCACCCTTACCAATAATCCATTATGTAAGACTATTCAAAATGACTTATACCAAAGAGTGAATGATTTTTAATTAGTTATTTATGTTAACTACAACAAGTAGATGATTACATTCCCTTTAATTTTTATTTAAAATGACCCATTAAAAGCAATAGCAAATCTAGTAATTCATTGTAACTACTAGTGCAAAAATCATTTTCCACTATAGATTTATTTGTTTGGACGTAAAATATTTTTTAGAAAATATTTTTTTATTTTTTGGTGTTTGATTGTCGTAAAATATTTACGAAGAAAAAAAATATTAAAATTTAACAAAAATAATTTATTTATAAATTTTTGACAAGTTATTTTACATATCCTCCTCATACACTCGACCTTAATTTTGACGTAAACCTCTGTCAAATACCGACAAAGTAAAAATAAAAAAATATTTTATCTAAAAAAAATAAATATATTTCTCAAAAAATATATTTTACGTCGAAACAAACAAACAGAGCCTAATGCAAAATCATTTTCCACTCAAAATTACGTTGGAAGAAAAACTATTTGTCGTTGCAGTCCTCATTTCTTTACCCAAAATTTTGTAAATTTTACATGCCCACCAAAAATTTTGTAAATTTTACATGCCCACTCCATCAATTCTCGTCTTGTACGTGCCTCAGAATTCGATCAATTACTGTAAATATTTCTGCCCTATATTCCATGCTTACGCACATTCTTCACCACATATATGTGAATAATATGCGGTCTACATAATGCCACATTCCATTGTGCATGTAGAACGTGGTTCCTGAAACTCGGGATTTAATCTTCCTTGGATAAAGCTCTTTGACATTTCCTACAGAGATTGAAACATATATATATATATATATATATTTTTTTCATTCTTAATTAATATATAAAAACATCAATTAATTGTTCAATTAGAATTCATGTGAATTCCATCACAAACCTATTGAGGAAAAAAATAAAAACTAGTTACACAAACATCGTCTTAAATTTTGGTCTCATCCAATGCTCGGAACTACCTTCGCATAGTATCACCCAAAATTCACCAATATTGTTCACAAGGGTAAGCAAGAATACAAGAATTCTCTATACATGTTTTATTACCCATATAAAGAAGTATTGAAGTTACATGCAAATAAAGCAAACTCTACTAAATGAAATCCCAGATCACCAACAGGTCTGTGGCCTAGCCTAGCGGTATAAGGCCCCTACTTTTCAAATGAAGGTCAGGGGTTCAAATTTCAGTGTGTGTGAATACCAACTAGGCAAAAAAAAAAAAAAATGAAATCCCATATCCAGAGAAATGAACTTTTAGATTCCTCAGTCGTCGCAAAGGCACCAATACTACTAAAGCACCACTTTATCAATCGATTTTAGTAGAAACTTTATATAAACTATTTGTTTTTGTTGTTTTCTATGAACTTTCTTTTCCAAAACAAGAATTTGGCACTAACTTGCCTCTGGTTGTTGCTCATCTGGAACTTTATCGTTGTAATCACCATTTCCTTCGTCCGACTCCATTTGGGTGGGGGGAGAGGGCAAAACCTGTACTACCATCTCTACCAATTCTTCAACACCTTCTCCCAAACGTTTTTCACAAAATTCTATCATCTGTGCAAAATAGGAGCAACAAGTAGACAATAGATAAAGAGATGGCTCAACAAATGGAAAATTAGCGAACAATGCAACTAAAAACAAATATAAGTGCATTTAGATTTGTAAACAATGAAGTCTATCAACATGATGATTTTCAATCATAAATAAAACAAGGGGGAGAGAGAGATGGATTCCATCAACTAACATTGATATTAATTGATATTCACCTTCATAATTTTTTTTCCCCCTAGTTTCAAACCAAGGGTACATAAGGTTTTTTGGTTTTTCCATTAAAGGCGCGCTCAAGAGGGGAGCATTTCAAAGAGAATACACAAGGCGCCAAAGACGACCAATTAGTGTTTCAAACTATCCCACAAAATTCAAAAAATGCCCCACAGATTTACAATTACAACCATCAACCCAAGAGAATAATGGAGTCAATATATTGTATTTGAGATAGGGGTGGCAATTTTTAACACGACACGCTAACACTACACAGGATAAGTGGATTTGGGTTTGGCTTAATCGTGTTTATGTCGTAATCATGTCAACCCGACTTGTCACGATAATTAAACGTGTCATGTTCGTACTTGACCCAACAACCCGATTAACCCATTTAAATAAACGTGTTAGATAATGTGTCATGTTTGTGTCAAAAACAATCAATTTAAGTATATGCATCCAATAAACATGTTGTATTCGTGTCAAAAATGACTGAAACATATCTTGTTGTGTCATTTCGTGTCGTGTCAAGTCTTAACATGTCGTATAGTGTTACCCGAGTAATAATTGTGTCGTATTCGTGTCAAAAAACCTTGACACGAATATTAATCGTGTCGTGTTCGTGCTAACCCATTTAATAGGAGACTCAAGTCTTAACACGCCATGAACACCGCTCGCCAACACGAATTGCCACTCCCTAAACAAGCCATGAACACGGCTCGCCAACACGAATTGCCACTCCCTACTTTGAGAGACTAAATAAGAGTTTCCTCTCCATCAAAGGATCTCATATTTCTCTCGTGTCACAAACCCTACCATAAACAAAGGGGAGTAACCCTCCAAGCATCTCTGGCTCAGCTCTCTACTATACACCCTCTCCAAGTATCTATCATGTCCATGGAACTGAAAGACACCTAAATACGGCCAAAAATATAGACCGGACATCTCATGCAACTGGGGAATGAAGGAGAAGGTGGTTCACTGTTTCCTCCGCCTTCTTGGACATGCAACACCAATTTATCACAATCTGTCGTCTCCTATTAAGATTGTCAAGAGTGAGAATGCTTCTGAGAGCATCTGACCAAGCAAAAAAAGCCACCTTCAAATGGGCTTTCGATCTCCAAATAGCCTTCCATGAGAATGTAGCAGGACTCGGGATCTCCAAAAGAGTTGGCCCTGATAGCAAGAAGACCTAAGGGAGTCCACCCAAACAATCTCATCCATTCCATTTCCCTCCACCACCTAGCTAGAAAGTAAAGTTGAGAACTCTGCTACCTTCACAAGCTCCCAATCATGGAACTCTCGCTGAAACTGCACATCCCAAGTCATCCTCCCGCTATCAAGCCGATAACAGTCGGCAACCAGGACATGTCTATTCATAGTAATCCTGAAAAGCTAAGGAAACCTATGAGCCAAAGCAATGTCCGTGCACCAAAGATCCTCCCAAAATCTTACATGTCTCTAAAAAGCCATTAGGCAAACTCATTCGAACCCTTTCGAATTAGCTTCTAAACTCCCACACCTGATGGAGATCTCACCTCCCTAGACAACCACCCTCCCCAGTCTGGCAAACAATGACCCTCCTCCATAATTTGGAGCTCTCTCCCCCAAATCTCAAAAGCCATTTGCCGAACAAAGCCATGTTGAACAAATCCAACCTCCTAATCCCTAAACCCCCTTTTTGAAGCGGGGAACATGCTTTCCCCCAATTCACTAAGTGGTATTTGAACTCATCTCCCATACCACCCCACATTAACTTCCTCTGAATCTTCTCTGCTCTCCGGACTACATACATATTCATCTAGAAAAAGAAACATGAAACATGTTGGAAGATTAGAAAGGATACTCTTCATACGACCTCTCCAAGCCTTAATCAAACCCAACGAAGTCCGAGGCATAACCAAGAGGACCCCAAACAAAGACATTTTTTGTTTTTTGATAAATCCAAACAAAGACAAAATCAAACCCCAAGTGTCCCTACAACCGGGCAATGCATCAAAAGATGATCAACTGTCTCTTCATCTCTCTTGCACATACAACACTAGTTGACAACAATCTGTCTCCTCCTCAAATTGTTGCAGGTTAGAATCTTCCCAAAATAGCCATCTTGCAAAAGTAAACCACCTTCAAGGGGGCCTTGGTGCGCCACACTGCCTTCCAGAGGAAAGCTCCCCCCGAATTATCTAAAAGCTCCCCAAAGGAGGAGCGAACATCCAACCTCCCTCGAGGGGAAAGGGATCCAAACTAAAGACTCAACCTCACCCATAACAACGTTCTCGCGTACAGCAATGACAAAAACTTAAAGACATCATCAAGCTCCTAACCCTGGAAATGCCTCATAAAACACACATCCCAAGTCGTCCACCCACCATCAAGGCGATAGTAGCCGACAACCAAAGCATGCCTGTTCATGGCAATCCTAAAGAGCCTGGGGAAAGTGCACACTAGTGCACGATCCCCACACCATCAATTCTCCCAAAAGCGGATGAATGTGACCTTTGAAACTTGAATCTAATGTGCTCTGAATATTCATCCCACACCTTCGTGGTGAATTTCCAAGCCTCTACCCCACCAAGAATCCTCACTGCAAGAGAACACCACCCGCCCCTCTCCCCAAATCTCTGAGAACTGACTCCTCTCTATAGCTTGTCCCTCTCTTCACACCAAATCTCCAAAGCCACTTGCCCAAAAGGGTTTTATTAAAAGGTTCCAATCTACTGATCTCCAAACCGCCCACCATCAAGGCGATAGTAGTCGACAACTAAAGCATGCCTGTTCGTGGCAATCCTAAAGAGCCTAGGTAAAGTGCACGCCAATGCACAATCCCCACACCATCAATCCTCCCAAAAGCGGATGAATGTGACCTTTGAAACTTGAATCTAATGGGTTCTGAATATTCATCCCACACCTTCGTGGTGAATTTCCAAGCCCCTACCCCACCAGGAATCCTCACCGCAAGAGAACACTACCCGCCCCTCCTCGAATCTCTAAGAAATCACTCCTCTCTATAGCCTGTCCCTCTCTTCACACCAAATCTCCAAAGCCACTTGCCCAAAAGGGTTTTATTAAAAGGTTCCAGTCTACTGATCCCCAAACCGCCTAACTAGATCAGCCTGCAAACATGCTCCCAATGAAAACGATGGTACTTGAACTCCTCTCCCAAGCCACCCAAACGAAAGTTCCGTTGAAGCCTTTCAATCCTTATAGTCACCGAAGAAGAAATCTGGAAAAGGGAGAGAAAATAGGTAAAGAGGCTCGATAACGTACTCTTCAAAAGGGTAATCTTCCTACCCTTCGAGAGATATTGCTTCTTCCACCCCGCCAGCCTCGTCTCAACCCTCTCAACAATGTTGAACAGATCAAACCTCCATATACCCAAACTCCCTAACTGGATAGGGTTGCACACCTTCCCCCAATTCACTAAGTGAAACTTAAATTCATCGCCCATGCCATCCCATAGAAAATTTCTTTGCAACTTCTTAAATCTCTTCACAATATAGGAGGGAATCCGAAACAAAGATAGAAAGTGAGTGGAAAGACTCAAAAGGGTATTCTTAACTAGAATTATATGGCCCAGTTCAAAAGATATTGCTTATTCCAACCTACAAGTCTCCTCCAAACTGCTCCACAACTAGATTCTAAATAGACACCCTCCTCAATGGAAAATTGACATTCAAACAGCTGCTAGTTGCTCACTTCCTTGGGATTTCTTCTTAAGGATAGATTGTGGGTTCCATGGTTTAAGCAGAAATCTGTTCATTCATCCTCCTACTGGAATGCTATCACATTGGCATCTCATTCATGTATATGGAAATCTCTTTTGATTGTTAGAGAGATTATGCTTCAGCACACCAACTACTCCATTGGAGGAGTACATGTGGTTTAGTTATTCTTGGATCCATGGTGCAATGGCCAGACCTTGAAAGACTCAAAAGGGTATTCTTAACTAGAGTTATACGGCCCATTTCAAAAGATATTGCTTCTTCCACTCTACAAGTCTCCTCCAAACCGCTCCACAACTAGATTCTAAATAGACACCCTCCTCAATGGAAAATTGACATTCAAACAGCTGCTAAGTGCTCACTTGGGATTTCCTCTTAAGTAAGGATAGTGTTGAAAGAGAGAGAGAGAAAGAGAATATATGAAAATGTATATGTTATTGAGTAAGTAATACAATAATACAATGGTGTTTATATGGGAGAAGCTGCTGCTACCCTTGCTTGTGAAGCAAGTTGAAGATAAATTTTCTCATCACTTAGCTTTCTGGTTTCCTGGATCCCTTGCAATGAATTGCAAACATGGTTAGTGGCTCCAAAATCTACACACCAGGTATCTGTAGATCCTGCCACATAACATGTCTCAGCAACAAGTGAATGAAAAATATCTTCAGAGTGTTTCTTAGCAAGATATACCAAACAATTCATTTTCTTGTGTCCCTCTTTGCCACAATGGAAACAATTCCTTTTAGACTTATCCTACTTATTGCCCTTAACCTTGACAACCCCAGCACTAGAATCAATTTCTTTGTGCTCCTGGATGTCATTGGGGCTAAGCTCAAGAGGGCACTCTTGAGTAAGCACAGTGTGAAGATTTTTCTTTCAGTTAACATAGTTCGACCTGGTTAATTTGTTGTCCTTTAAGTATAGAAGCAAGCAGATTGAAAATATTCGACATCTGAAATATAAACATTCATGCATAAATAAAAGGGCATACATTCAGAAACAAAAATTAAACTTTAGTTTTCATATAGTCTCTCAGTGGGCCTCTCTAAACCACTGATGTAATGAAAACAT